AGGGTCATCTTCCACATCATGAAGAGACATTACAGGAAGACTTTGGCAGAGGAATTGACTACTCATAGCTCTTATTTTCCTTTATCTTTCTTTGTAAGAGAGCCATAGTTCAGTGGAAAGCTTTCTTTGTAAGAGGGTCATGGTTCAGTGGGAAGGACACGTGACTTAGAGTTGGAGACTTTGGGTCTAAATCCGGAATCTGCTGTTTATTAGCTACCTGACTTTGGGAAAGACATATACTTTCTGTAGACCTTGGTTTCCTTTGTGTATCATTGAGGAAGGATGTGGGCAGCCACCAGCTTTCAAGTCCAAGGAGGGGGAGAAAGAGGTGGAGAGAGACAGAGATAGAAACTGAGAGACAGAGAGAGAAAGAGAGAGACACAGAGAGAGGGCCAGAGAGAGAGAGAGAGAAGTTTTCTGAAACTGAGATGAATGCACAGTTTAAGAATAAGATGGAAAATGCTATGCAGCTAAATCTTTCCCACCCCAAACAAATGATTGAAAATTTCTACAGTTGAAATATCACTCTTCCCAAGAAATGTATCTCCAGGATGCCACCTGGTCTTACTGACTTGAGGAGGAGACCCAGATCTCTTGAGAGCATGTAAGCAGAGTGTTTACTTAAATATTTTAGTTGATATTATATCAATATTAATATTATATCAATGATATTATATCAGTATTATTATATCAACATTAATTGATTAATTAATAAATACTAATGCAGTCAGATTTTTAAAAGGTTGCTCTTCATATGGTCTGCTAGCTTCATGTGAATAGGGTTCAAATGATTACAGAGATTCCTGGCTGATTTGGGATGGGGGCTTCAGCAGACTGAGGCACATTAATCTTCAAAACATATTGAGTCATGTAGGAATTTGTTTCATTTGACTATGCATATTTCTTACAAAGGTTTTCTTTTTCTTTTTTCCCAATGAGGAAAAAAGGGAAGGAAGAAAAAAAATACTTGTTAATTGAAAAAAATAAAAATTAATTTAAAAAATGCACATTAGACCAAATAATCTGTAGGAGTTCCAGAGTAAAGTGAAAATCAGGTTATATTTATGGAGGGAGTCATTCAGGATAATTTTTAATGGAGTTTTAGATCAAGCTATTTGGGAATGCCAGGGATAGCTGGTAAAAAGGATACTTGGAAATAAGCTAATAAGCCCCACCACTGCTGACCAATTAAATAAATTACTGAGTCACCCAGCATAGTGACAAAGAACTCGATATGGAAAGCTATGGTATTTTTCAGGGGAATATCCCCTACCTAAGGGATTTGCCATGGAGGTGATTACCAAGAGGTAACTAACTGGAAAGGGAAGTAACTTAGAAACACATTAAAGCCTCACCCTACTGACCAAAATTTAGGGACTAAACAAAGTCTTCATGGCAAGAGCAAGATAGGATAATATCTGAGGTCTGCTGAGACAGGGAATAACCTCCTCCATATGTCAGTGAACCAGCACCCATACCCTCCACAGCAGCCAATGATCTCATGCCAATGATGGCAAGGGCTACTCCAAAGAAGCCAGCTATCAGACAAGCAGTACCAGGGGCTCAATATGGAAAGTTGTGCCATTTTTCAGGGGGCATCCCTGACCATCAGGCTTTCCCATGGATCTGATGCAGGAGTGGCAGGAGATTAGTTCAGAGAAATGTAAGAAACTAAAGGAGAGCCCCAGGGGATATTGCCTTTAACTTTCTTAGAGATGGTCCTTAGAGATGCAACACCCCACCTTTACAAGCCTTGAGAGTTTGAAGAGGCTATTCCAAGAGTTAGGTGGCAATGAGAATGTATAAGGCTGCTACGTGAAGGTATTGATCCCCTCCAACAGGAGGGAGAAAAGACCTCCTATTTTGTTGTGGTTGTTGTTGTAGAGGTTGTAGGTCCAGAGCCCAGTTTGTCTGTAGGGCTAATGGACCGTACTAGACTGGTCCAAGCAATCAGACGACTAGTACATGAGGACGTGCTATGTATCAGTGCCTACGTGCAACACGTAGCCGTTCGTGGTTAATCAGGAAAATAGAAATGACAATGAGATCACAGGCCCAGGCCTATCTCTATTACAGCTGTAGTAGGACCAGAACAGAATACAGTGGGACTTTCAGCTCCCTGACAGTGGCTTAGTGGTCCAGTGGATAGAGTTCTATGATTGGAGTTCAAATTTGGCCTCAGATATTTACTCCCAGTGTGATCTTGGCCAAGTCATTTAATCTCAGTTTTCTCAACTGTAAAATGGGAATAATAATAGCATCTACCTCTTAGGACTGTTGCAAGGATAATAAAATGAGATCATATTTATAAAGCACTTTATAACCCTTAACAATCCCATATAAATGGTAGTTATTATTATTATTAGGTGGCTGTGTTAGCTTTTTTGTGTGGTAGATAGAAGTGAAACCCGATATGGACCTCAGGACAAATCTCTTCAGTTTATCTCAACCCTAGAGGAAGAACTCCTTTACAATGTATTTGAAAGAGGGTGAGATCCAGAGAAAGAACTATGGAGTCTGAATACAAATCCAAGCATACTATTTTCTCTCTCTCTCTCTTTTTTCTTTCTTGTGTTTTTTTCCTTTTGGTTCTGATTCTTCTTTACAACGTGACTAAAGTGGAAATGTGTTTAATGTGATTGTGCATGTATAGCCTATATCAGATTACATGTCGTCTTGGGGAGGGGAGAGGAGAGGAAGGGGGGAAATTTAGAACTCAAAATCTTATAAAAGTAAATGTTGAAAACTAAAAGTAAATAAATTTTTTTAAAGAGGGTGGGCAGGTCCAGCAGCAAGGAGGTCTTCAGGGCCCTTAGGCTTGTCTCTGTGGCCCTAACTTAAGGGCAGACTCAAGAACAGACATTGGGAGGGCAACTTTCTGGTGCCTAGAGAATGGAAAGGCCTTCTGAGGAAGAAATTCAGTTCTAAAATGGGTGTGCGCTCAGTTCTGCTATGTGGGTTGTGGTCAAGGAGTGACAAATACAATCTGCTTCAGAATTTCCTGACCCTGCTGAGCACAGGCTCAGAGCTTTGCTCTCTCTGAGAAGGAGGACCTCAGGAACTACCAGAAGGAATTACTAGCCAATGACCTCATCACCACAGAGGCCTCATCCATAATGGTGGCACAAAGGAGTTTGAGAATATTTGTTCAGGGAGATTGAACATTTTTTCATGGATAAGGCAATCAGGCTTTGCTGATGACAGAAGGAGATAATAAAGATGGGAACGGGGGCTAGGTGGGTGAAAAACACTGACCCAGCCACCTATCTAGGAGACTAATTCTAAATTAGAGACTACCTGGATCTCCCCAGACTTAGGAAAGGTCTTATCTTAGCTTGGGGGCACACTTCGGGGCATTCATTAGCTCTGACTAAAGAACTGCCACCCAGCCTTAATGAAGGGAAGAAGAGTACTTATTAAAATGCAGCCAGGACCAAGGCCTCCTAATTGCTCTTCCTGCCTCAGGTCTCTTCTCTCTGCTACCCATCCTTCATGCACTGGCCAAAGTGATTTTCCTAAAGTGCAGGTCTGACCATACTACAGCACTACTCAACTCCAGTGGTTTTGTATTACCTCCAGGATCGACTATCAACTCCTTAATTTGACATGACATCTTCTTTACAACCTGGCTCCTTCCTATCCTTCCCACTCTCTTCTATATTGCTTGTGCCCTCTCTCGTTCAGCCATACCGGCCTTCTTCACCCACATGACATCACATCTCTCTATCTTTTCACTGGCTACAGCCAGGCCTGGAATGTTCTTCCTCCTTACCTCTTAGAATGCCTCTTAGGTGCCTCTTAGAATCCATAGCTTCCTGGCATCTAGACACCAACTGCTACTGCTTTTAAAGTTACTTTCCATCTGCTCTGAGCATCTACCTTGTACATAGTTAACATACCTACTTAAATATGTGTTGTCTCTTCCATTAGAATGTCTTGAGATCAGGAGCTTTCCCCCCCTTTTCTTTCTTTCTTTCCTTCCTTCCTTCCTTCCTTCCTTTCTTCCTTCTTCCCTTCCTTCCTCCCTTCCATCCTCAGGGCTTAATAAATGTTGATTAATGCAACTTCCACTTATTTTGTATTCTAATGTTTATTTTCATGGTACTTTTCTTGGTTTTGTCTAAAACCATTATTATTATTATTATTATTATTTGTTTACTCAATCTCTTTTGGTCGGTTTTAAACTTCTTGTAAAAATTTGTTGCAACTGTGTCTCTGTTCCACATTTCTGTTGCTATTTTTGAGGACAGGCTAGAGCCTTTCTGCCTTGTGGCCTTGCTGTCTTCTGGGAGATTGTGGTTCTAGAATACTGATATCTTTGGGTCTAAAGTCTACACAGATGTATTTGTTTTGCTTCCTAGGCTTTAAGGCTAGGGGCAAAGGTATGTGAATTACACAAACTTAGCCAGATCATCCACTTAGGCACCAAATGCCTGAGCTGGAAGGGGCTTTAGAACATAGACTATCCAGGGCTGAAAGTTTGTCTGTGTGCCTCTTGCCAGTGTGACCTGAACAAAATCACTATCTCTCTGAGTCTCAATTTCCTCGATTTGTAAAAATGAGGAGGGTTAGAACTAGGTGAAGGTCATGATTTTAGAGGCCACCTCATTCAAATGCTATCTCTATATTTTTTAGTTGCGGGGTTAGAGACTTGGTCTAATTCACTCAAGAAAGCCTCTTTGGACGTCAAAAAGGAAAGGGGTTGGGATGCGGTAGGCGCTCCCCATCTACTCCCCTCCTCCCACTCCCCCACCCCAAGGCAGGCTTGAGCGGACGGCGCTGGCGACTGGGACCGCAGTGTATGCATCCGGCGCTAGGACCGGCGAGGGCCTCCTCTGGGCTGCAGCGCCACCGCCCCTTTTCCACCCTGGGAGGGGAGGGAGAGAAAATGAGGAAACAGAGGAACTTGCCACAAGTTGTGCGGCTGCGGCCACCGCGGAGCGCAGTGCCCACGGCTGGGGCCCCCCACTAGCCCCAGGGAAGGGAAGGGGCTAGGCAGGAGAGGAGCCGGGAGTGGGGCCCCAGCGGCCCAGCCTGGCTCTGCCCGCGCCGTCCCCCATCCCATCCCACCCGGTGCTGTGCCGTGCGGTCCAGAGCCCCGGCGGCCCAGGCAGGGCAGGTGAGACGGGCGGGAAACTGTCCTGGGGAGGGGGCGCGTGCGGTCCGGGGACAGACCCTCATCTGCCTCTCGCCCTCCCAGAATGGAAGAGTGCGCCTGCCAGGGGGCCTGGGGTCTGCTCCTCGCCTCCATCCTCATCCTCACCCTCATCCCCATCCCCGTCCCCGTCCCCTTCCCAATCCCAATCCCTGGCGGCCGCCGTCTGGGGAAGGGGGGAGGTGAGCTCAGGGATGTTATCCCAGGGTCTGGTAGCAGCTGAGCCTGCGCCCGAGAGCGGGGGTGGTGAGGACGGCACAGATTGTGCTGTTCGCGTACGACAATCACCGTGGTGGCTCCAAGTGTGTGACAGTCGCTATATGTGACTGACGGTGTGTGCCAGTGTGAGCTTGTGTGGGAGACTGCTCTCAGGCTCTGAGCATGACATTTTGTGTGTGTGTGTCAGTCTGCATAATACATGGTGTGTCAGGTTGTATTTGACTGTGGCTGTGATGGTGTGGGCGTCTTGGTGGGTCTGCCTAGGTGCGCGCCCGGGACAGCAGAGTGAGTATGTGAATGGTGCTGGGGGTGATTACTGATGAGTTCAGTTGGGTGTGTAATGGACATATGCAGGGTGTGTGTTGTGCATACATGTCGAGGGGGGCTGTTTACCAGTGTTCTCAAGTGCATGGTGTGGAGTGTGGGCCTTACAGGAATGTGTGCTGTGTGTCTAGCTTTCTTGTTGGGTAAATAGTGTGTATACTTGCACTTTTGTGGAAAGGTACTTGTACCTGAAAGATCTCCCTGTTGTGTATTTTGTGTGCCTGGGCATAAGGGTGAGGGATAATCATCCCCCAAAGAATAAATTGAAAGCCATCCGAACCTTAGAATTTGGGGACACAGAGGCCTCCCCCTCCCAGAAAGCTGTGTCTTCTCCATGACTTCTCCTTTCAGCTGTCACTGGGAACAGAGTGTGTTGGAAGATATGGGGTTGGTTATGCACCTCCGACTAAGGCTAGGAGAGCCCCAAAGGAATCCTGTCTTGAGGCTTGCTACCTGTGTGACCTTTACCTTCCTGGGTATCAGTTTCCCTTTCTGAGGTCCCTTCCAGCTCTAGTTTCAGGCTCCTTTGAGCCTGTGCTCTCAACTGAAGCAGAGGCACCCTCAAATACCCTCCACCAATAGGTGACCCAACACCCTTGAAGGGACAGTTGGCCTTCTAGCCAGGGCTGCCATCAAAGTCATAGATCTCATGTAGCCCAGAAGATGAAAGGAAATGGGGACCGGGGAACAAAGGTGCAAAAAAACAGCTATTGGCCTTCAGATGCACTGTAGGAGCTAAGGTTAAACCTCAAGCCCTAGAGGCCTTAGGCTGTAGAGAGCATGGGGAGAACCTTGAGCTGCTGACCAATGTCCCCTGTGTGACTTCAGAAATGACTTTGAGTCATCCCTCCTGCCCTTCCCCTGCCCCCCTTCCCCCACCCTCCACACATCTACCTTGTAAGAGAAAGGGGAAGAACTGAGCAGAAGCTAAGCCTCTGACCTCCATTCCTCTCCCATGTCCCAGTCAAATGGTGCTGGAGTCACCCACCCACTCATCTTGGCTCCAGTTCCCTTTTCCTAGGGGAATGTCCTAGGGGCTAAACTAGGCCAGGAGGAGGGAAAAATAGAATCCTGGAATGTAAGAGCTGGGAAGAGCTCTTAGAACATAGAAGGTCAGATCTGGAAGGTCTTTAGGGAACGTCTAGCCCAACCCTCTGGTTTTACAGACTGAGGCTCAGAGAAGTAAAGTAACTTGCTCAAGGTCACACAGCAAGTAGGTGGCAGAGGTGGGACTCAAACTTGTTGGCATTCAGTCTGGTGCAGTTTCCTCTTCTGTAAAATGGAACACACTATATATATATGTGTGTGTGTGTGTGTGTGTGTATATATATACATGTATATAAACATATTTGTGTAAATATATACACACAAAATCTGTGATTCACCAATGACTGTGCATGAAAGAGTTGGGTGACAGGACTCCTAGCACCTCTTGCCAGGATCTCTTCTTGTGCCCTGGAAAACAGCTCTGGGGCATGTGGGCCCTACTTACCTGTTGCCTGCACATTCCTCTCATCCCAGGTAAGCCCCAGTAATCCCTGGATCCTCCGCATCTCAGCCAAGATGCCAACGGTAAGCATGGCTCCAAACTGTGACCAGGAATTTCCCAGCTTCAGGCTCTTCCATGCCTCCCAGGCCCTCCTGTGGGTGCCCCTTGGTTGAGGTTGACTCATGTTCCCTCATTGACTTCCAGTGATTAACTTGACTTCCCCTTGATGTTGTTGGGGGTGGGGAGAGGATGGTGAAGCTGGGGATTAAGTTCAGAGATACCTTCTCCTATGTAGCCTGGGGGTTGGTGTCTACCAACAGCTGGCTGTCTGCCCCACCCCTGTGCTCAGGACCCCTCCCTCTCTTTTCCCATCTCTACCTTCCCCTGTTTCTATTTTTATCTCTCTGTGTCTCTCCCTGCCCTTGTGGCTCTCTGTCTCTGTCTTTGAGTCCCACTGGGCTCTATCTCTGGCTGTAGAGACGCTGGACACCTGGTACTCAGTGCATCACCAAGTGTGAACACATGAAGCCCAAGCCAGGCGAGCTGGCCTTCCGAAAAGGAGAGGTTGTCACCATCTTGGAGGCTTGTGAGGTGGGGGCTGGGCCACAGGTGGGGATGGAAGGGGCCCCGACTCTGGGGAGGTGAAGATCCGAGGCCCACGAGCCAGGAGCTAGTGTAGATCTCAGGGAAAAGACTGGGCACCGGTCACCAGCTCTGGCCTCATCCCCTCAGCAGAGCAAGAGCTGGTACCGGGCTAAGCACCATGACAGTGGTCAGGAGGGGCTGTTGGCAGCTGGAGCCGTTCGAGAGCGAGAGGCCATCCCCGCTGACCCCAAGCTCAGCCTCATGCCGTGAGTAGACAACATCCTTGGTGCTCACTGCCTCCAGGTGCTACTGTCCTGATGTCAACTTGTCACAGTACCAGGATTCACACTGTCCAATGCCCCCTTAGTTCCTGAAGTCCAGGGCGTTCTTTGCCCAAAGTACCCACATTCCCCCTCCCCCTTCTCCCATTCCCCCCAGGACTTCTGCTTCCAGTTCTAGGCCCTTTCCCAATTCACCCACAGGTGGTTTCATGGCAAGATCTCGGGACAGGAGGCGGTAGCTCTGCTACAGCCAGCAGAGGACGGGCTCTTCTTGGTGCGGGAGTCTGTGCGGCACCCAGGGGACTATGTTCTGTGTGTCAGCCATGGCCAGGAAGTGGTCCACTACCGAGTGCTGCACCATGGTGGACGGCTGACCATTGATGAGAGTGTCTGCTTCTACAACCTTATTGACATGATTGAGGTCTGACTGTCTCATCCTGTTCATCACCCCTAGTAACCCTACCATCTCTCAGTCCCTTCTATTCTAGGGATTCTTCCCATCCCTCCCTCTGGCCTCCAGGAATTACTGATCTCCCCCAGGAACCTCCTTTGAGGGGTACAAATCCCTGTGAGTCTCCCAAGACTCTGGACTTGAGACCCCTAAATCTTCAGTCTCCCCAGGAATCTCCTAGTTCCCAACAACCCTGTATGGAAGCTAGAGTTCTACTCCCACCAATCCTGAGAGAATTCTCCAGGGAATTCCACCAACCCCCCCCCCCAGCTTATCCCTACTTCCCTGCCTCCTGACCGCTCTCTCTCTCTCTACCCTCCCATCCATTTCTCAAGATTCTAACTGGGATCTCAGCCCAGCTTTGGTTTCCAGGGAAACCAATACAGCATCAGCAACTAGTGTCCATGGGAACCAAGCCCCCCTGGCTCCTCCAGCCTCTCCTCAGCTTCCTGAGGGTCAGTGGTCACCTAGGAGGGAGCTAGAACCAGAAGTCCTCCCAATTAGCCAGATAACCACCCCCACAGCCCCAGAGAGAGAGTCCAGGCCCCTTTCCTTAGGAGGCTTAGTAGCCCCGACCCCATGAGCATGTCCCAGCTCAAGCTGCCATCTGTCTATCTGTCCATCCATCTTCAGCATTACATGAAGGACAAGGGGGCCATCTGTACAAAGCTAATGAAACCCAAGAGGAAACATGGAACCAAGTCAGCTGAGGAGGAGCTGGCCAAAGGTGGGGGCTATGGGGTAATGCAGGGAAAGGAGGATATAGAAGTCTCTTTTTTCTCAACTCCCTACAGGATAGAAACCTTAACAAAAGGTCTTATTGGGCAGGGAATCATAAGAGGGAAGGGAGGAGGAAATAAGCATTTCTTAAGCACCTACTATATACCAGGCAGTGTGCTAAAACAAATCCCTTCCTTTCTCTGGGTCTTTATTTCTCCATCTGGAAAATGGGTACAGAAATGCCTGCATCAAGAGGTATTATCATGCAGTGGTTAGACAGAGTATCACCCCTAAAGTTAAGAAGACCAGAGTTTAAGCTGTCCCTCTGATCCACAATGATTGTGTGAATGTGGGCTAGTGACTTAACCTGATTGTGCTCCCAGGCAGTTCTTTAAGGCAGTATAGTACAGATGAATTTGCTATCTGAACTAGTGGAGGGAGTTTCCATGCTAAGAGTCCTACCCTGATGAAATCCAAGGACTAGATTAAAACAAAAACAAAAACAAAAACAAAAACAAAAACAAAAACAAACAAACAAAAAAAACCCAACAACAACCAAAAACAAAAGCCCAGACCCCAAACAGAATCCCAGAGGGCTGTTGTGAGAGTCAAATGAGATAGTGGATGTAAACGGGCTTTGTAATTTTGTGAAGTGCTATTTTTGTAGTAATAATGTGTCCATATGGCTGAACAACCTGTTGTACTTGTTGCTAGCATTTATATAGCTCTTTAAAGTGTACAAAGTACTTTACTTTGCATCTATTTGCATCTGTTCCCTCGGTACTGGCTAGAAGGCTGGTCTTTAAGCCAAGAGACCCTGAGTGCATGTCCTTCTCTGACATATACTGGCAGTGTGACCTTGGGAAATAAAGCGTGACCTCTTAGTGCTCTGGGTGGCTTTCTAAGCTGCAGAGCAGGTGCTAATATGCATTGTTGGAGGGGGTTACCTATCCGTGGAGTTCAAGCACAGTGACCTCACAGGACCAGTCCCTTTTCCTGTCCCTATCTCCTTACGTTCAGCAAAAAAGACCCTCCTTGCTGGGTGGATGAGGTGTCTGGAATCGGACAGGCCACTGCAGGGTCCTGGATCCCACCTGATTCCTGATTGGGCTCTTTCCTCACAGCTGGTTGGTTACTGAACCTGCAGCAGCTGACCCTTGGCAGTCAGATTGGGGAGGGGGAGTTTGGAGGTAGGTGGGAAGAGAGGGGGGGGAGGGGGGCGGTAATGGGACTAAGGGTCACTCAGCTTCTCTCCCTGGTGTAACCCCTGCCCCTCACCCCCACACACCCCTGGCCCCAGAGGCTGTGACACAAGGAGAGACCAAAACCTGAAGAGATTCAGTAAAGACTGAGCCCAGAAGAGAAACCCAACCTCGGAGCCTGAAAGAGACATAGACTGTGGTGGGGGAAAGGTTTTGGTGTGTGGAGAAGATGGAAGTGGGGGCTTGGCTGGGCTTAGACTCAGTCTCAAGCTCAGGCGGAGGCCAAGGCTCAGACACCTTCCCCATCGGGGGGGCTTGTCCTAGCCGTGTTGCAGGGGGAGTACCTGGGCCAGAAGGTGGCAGTGAAGAACATCAAATGTGACGTCACCGCCCAGGCCTTCCTGGATGAAACAGCTGTAATGACGTAAGGCTCAGGACCCAACTTGGAAGGCGTGGAAAGAAGCCTCACCTTTTCCTTCCCCCACAATGTCCCAGGGTTTGGGGGAGGAGGTGACTCCCAGCTCTCGGGCGAAGCAAATAGAGCCAACGTTTAGGGGCTGGACATTCCCAAGTGTGTTTGGTTTATTCGGGTCTTAGAATGCCCCAGCTGGAAGGGACCTTATGGGGAAGAGTGAGTCCTGGGCTCCAGTCCATGTCCAGACCTGGGTGTTCTAGCCCTCATCATTTGCTGGGTGACCTTGGGCAAGTCTGTTTGACTCAGTCTTCTCATTTGTAAAATGAGAGGGTTGGACCCAGGATGGATGTATTCTGGGCACCCCCTCCCTCATATGCACGCAACCTCCATCCCTCTTCAAATCCACCCCCAGGAAGATACAGCACAAGAACTTGGTGCGGCTGCTGGGGGTCATTCTCCACCAAGGGCTCTACATTGTCATGGAATACATGAGCAAGGTGAGTTTGAGCCCTGTCCTCTCCATCCCTCTTCTGGGGAGGGCACATGCCTCCTCTTTTTCTGCTCTCTT